CACAAAGTAGAAGGAGGAGAGCTCTGATGGGCAGACACACACCTCATCCTGCAATTCAGGCAATGGGCTACTTGACTTTAGCACAAAGGATCAATGTTGTAATCATGTGCATTCACTGAGGGTCATGCCCCGGCTGCTGTATTACCAGCGACTTTGAGGACAAAAGGTTCCTTGTAGTGTGTTGGAAGGCTGGAGGGGGGGAATTACCTGGCACTAGTGTTACAGAGGTGGATGCTCATGTCTTTTGTTCTCTTCCAGTCACCTGATGCAGCTGATGACCTCAGATTCACAGATGACAGAAATAACTCAGGTAAGCTCATGGCCAAAGGAGTCGTCTTTGTACTACTTGCTTCCCACCACGGTTCTAGAGGGTTCCCCTTTGCCTGCTTGTGGAAGCAACCCTGAGGACTTCAACTTCATGCTGCTTGAAGCAATGTCCTATTTTGTCTATTCTAGAATGAAACCTCCAAACTCACCACATTCAGTTTTGGGTAGGATATTTGCATTGTGCTTTAGTGATGGCTAATTTGCTGAGAATGGTGTGTAACAAGCATGCCTAGTTTTCTTCCGGTTTTGTGTTCTGGAGTAAAGAGTGGTAGTAGAATGTGGGTGGGAAGTTTTGGCCTTTGCCACCTGCTGTAAGTGGATAATGTCCATTGTTCAGGGTCTGCCTTGTGCCCCTTCTGATAGAGCGAAGAATCTTGCTGCCTGCAGGGGGCAGCTGCAGATAAATTCATCCTGGTTTAAGACTTGAGAGCATTTGGGTGCTTGAGTACCCAGGTGACTCTCCAAGTCTATGCTTTTGGATCTGTGTGCACAGTCACCTAAATAAACAGTAATTAAAGCTTTGACTGCTGTATCTCTTCAGGCTGTCCTAGCTATGGTATGTCTTTCTGTCCCCAGCTATAATAGATAGGCTCAGACTATCTCCCGCTTCATTCTAGGTGGCTGTAGTAGTACTGTGGAGCTCAGCAGGGCCTGCCTGCTGCTTAGTAGTACTTCTGTTTCCTTCAGCAGTTGATGCTGGTTTTCTTCTACCTGTTTTGCAGCTATTTTTCCCCCCTTTATTTTACACGAGGAACAGTTTTTCTCTCAATTTTATCTTGGCAAATCTCTCTGAATAAAGGCTGCACTCCGAACAGCTGATCCATGTATGGGCCATTTCCAGAAGGAGGTTCTGCTGCAGAGATACTGAAGAAAAACTTACTTTCCTGAGAACAACATCTGTTCTTCATCCCTTGGAGTAAACCTCTCAACCCTGGGTTATTCTCTTGAGGTAGTCCAGTCAGTGTACATAACTAGGAGGTCACTGAAGGGTCGGGAAATAATCAACAATTGCTTAGGGGCTTCAGACCTCACTATTGCCTGTCATTGGTCTGTTGGGCCCTCAAATAGAATAAAAGCCATAAAGAAGAGAGTGTGGTGCTCTATCAAGAGTTTTTTAACCCAGTCCTTAATCCGTAAGTAATCCTTAAGTCACTACTGTATGAGGCTGTGATGTGTGTGAGGCACCAAAAAAATGCAGGTTTTCCAAAATCAGTTTGGAAGGCTAGCAGATGAAGATGCAACTAAGCTCTTTTGGTATGGGACAAAGCTGTCAAGGTTTTTTTTACATTCCTCCCCCCTCCCCCCCCCCCCAATCTCATTCTTCCAGGCCATGTAGCATTCCAGCCAACATAGAGATTTTTATTTTTACATAGATTTTGGCAAGTTATAACATCTGAATGAGGAATTTAAAAAAATTCTCCTTTTCTGCATCAATTCCAGCCTCCTGCTAGCCCTGCTTTTGTCTCTTTTCAGATATCCTTCTCAGAACATGTGGAGAAAATACTTGGAATAAAATATTTCTCTGGGAAAATACTTGAGAATTTGAGTGATTTTTACTTGCATTTTTCTTTACCATAAAAGGAAAAGAAAAGAAAACTAGTTACCAAAGATCAAAGAAGTATATGCTGAACTAGTTCAAAACAACACAATGTGTGTGCTTTCTGCTCCTTCCCCCCCCCCCCCCCCCCCCCCACCCTTCATTTGCAACTCCCAGCATTAGAGGCACCAGTTTGACATATCCTATCAGGCCTTTCACTTCTGTGTGTATTAATACAGCTTTAGAGAGATCTAATTGCTACATTTAGTGACACCTTTTCTCTGTACACCTCCACACACACTGGGATTTTAATCAGAATTATCCTTGATCATGGAATTATGGCTTTTTGATCATATGGTAAACTCATAAGCGATTCCTAAACTTTATGCTAGAAAAGCATTACAACAGAAACTCCAAGGATATCTTACTGCTGACTGCAGGAAAGCATTAGCATATCTCTCTTCTGAACATCTTTCAAAGCACACTATTTTCTTGTCCATTGCACATGGGCTCTAAGAAATAGTTCTTTCCATTCTTGGGTCTGACTTCATGGTCATCATCTTTTAAATGTGTTTAAAAACATTTATTCCAAGGTGTTAAAGAGGCCATGAAGTTATTGAACTACATAATAGCATTTTTAGGGTGGAACCATGCTATGTGTTTGCTTTATGACGTAACTTTCCCAGATCACTTAGAGCCAGTGTCTTTTGCTTTCCAATTCTACAACCATCAGGTTTCAGAAATACACCCTTGATAACTTTGTATTGCACTTATTACTGGATACCTACTTATGGTATGTAAGAAACTACTTTTGCCCTCATGGTCTTTGTCCACTTGGGATGTCTAATGTCTACGGCAACTTATACAGGAAAGGTATCTTTTTATCCTACACTGGACTAATCACTGCTGTATTATTAGTTTTGTCTAGGACTCAGCTCAGCAGCTCATACACGCATAGGAATGAAAGATGATCTCTCCACCTTCTTGTATTGTTAATTTATCCCCATCCAGCCTTTTTAGCCACATCCCTACTCCAAAGACTTGCATCCACCCTTTTGTTCTCCAGACTTCCATTTTACAGATTCTTTCGCACCAAAATGCCAAAATTTCACAAAACGAGAATCTAGATTCATACTAGTTGCAATGCCTGTGCTCTCTTCCAGTATTTTCTGATTTCTCTCATAGGATAGGAAGCATGTAAGGGAGGCTTGTACTGGTTCAAAATATACCAGTACTCTGTTTGGCTGGAAG